CAAATAAGATACAATTATTGCAATAAAAGGAGGGGCAGGGATAGCGGGGGAGACAAATTCAGTCTCTGAATATGTGGCTGCCACATCTTACTGCTCTCTGTGGGCTCAGTGTCAGACAATAGCAATGCCAGCAGGAGCCCGGCTGGCCCTCAGCGTGGGCCGGCATCTGGGCGCGGGGTTTCTTCCCTCACCTCACTGGATCCTCCAAACAATCCTCGGGGTAGTAGACACCTCTGGTCCTGTACCAGAGGGAGGAGACACAATGTGGTTGATTTTGCACAGCCTGAGTCAGAATCCAAAGGGGGCTCTGATGCCAGGGCCCTGCTCTCTCCATCCTGCTAATCACCAGCCCCTCACAGAGGCCAACAGCACCAACTGGACTAGGGCAAATGGCAGGGTGGCCTTTGCAGGTGACAGCCCTGGAGCCCAACTCTCTCCAGGGCCTGGGCTGAGGTGGGGAAGAACCTGCTCTGAGCTGGCGGCCTGTTTCCCCACCTGTTCTTTGCAGGGTATGTTCACCCTCTATCAAGAGTGGGAGGATTACACTCTCCCCCTGAGGTGTGAGGGTGCATCTGGTGTAGTTTCCAAAATACTGCTTAAGTTAAAATTATGACTCAAAAAAGCAGAGATTTCCAACATATGAGTGTGGTCAAGTGATCAACATTCTTTCCACCTGCATGTGGCTTCTACATTATGTAAGCTTTTTGTTACTGTTTTTTACCCCCCATTAATTATATGTATTTGTGGGGTTCTGTTTATTTATGCATGTATGTATACATTACATTTTTATATATGCACACTGAAAATTTAGAGTTTGAAAACACAGGTCCTGAAGTCAGATACTATGTGTTTAAATCCCAACCCTACCCCTAGGAGCTATATTATTTTATTAAGCATAATATATGTCAGGCACTGTGTTAAGTACTTCTTGTGAATTATCTCACTTAGTGACTTGGGCACTGCCAGTAGACCCATTTTACAGATGATGAAACTGGAGCACAAAGAGGGCAAGCCACCTGCACAAGGTCACCCAGCTCATCAGCAGCTGAAGCCAGGATTCTTTGTTAGACTGTATGACTCCAGAGCCTTGGTTCCTAACCAAGGCAGGGCCCTGGGTTTAGCCTTGAGAGACTGATTCTGGCATAAGGCCATGGTTTAATTTGGGGCAAGTTTCTTTTGGCCTCTGTTTCCTCTTTTACTCATGTTGTAGGATTATAATAAGGAGCATCTCTGGGTCACGTGTAAGAGAAGGGTCTGAAAAATACCAGGCGATGGGCGGATACAAAAAGCAAAGGTACATCTTGGGGCTACTCCCTCGGCCAAGGCAGGGTGGGCATGCATGGCTACACCGTACTGACTTGGTTATGCCAGCCTCTGGCTCCGTGGCCAAGAACTTGGCTGGAACTGGCTCAGAGTAGTGAGGAGCCTGAAAGGAGGAGGAAGGAGTGTCTGCAAGGCTGGCTGGGGAGAGGCTTGCAAAGTGGTGCTGAAAAGACTTCAGATTTCAGATTTCCAGTGATCCCTCCACATGGCCACCAGCTCCAGCCCAGATCCCAGGGAAGCAGGCTGTTAACAGGAGCTGACAGCTTCATGAGGTTGTCAATATTTGAAGCGGGGTGGAGATCATAAAGTGAGAAGATTAGGAGGCCAGTCAGGAGATGGGATGCTGAACATCACCTAGAGCATGTATGGCTGAAGGAACTATTCTTAGACTCCTGCAGTGTGGACCCTAGGAAGTAAATGCTTCCACCAAGTTTACACATCTGAGGCCTCATGGCTGCCTCCAGCCAGGACCCTGAGCTTGGTTTCATGCTCTGTGGTCACCTTCTTGAAATTCTTAATAACTTTATCTTTGGATTGTGTTGTCAAAGCAAAATCTGATGGGCAACCTATTAGAACATCCAAATCTGGGACCCTGACAGCACCGGATGGTGGCAAGGATGTGGACCCGCAGAAGCACACACTCAGCACCGGTGGGGATGCAAAATGGTACAGACGCTTCGAAAGACAGTTCAGCAACGTCAGATAGAACTAAACATACTCTTGCCACATGATCCAGCAATCCTGCTCCAAGGACCTGAAAACCTATGTCCATGCGAACACCTGGACGCAAATGTTTATAGCAGCTTTACTCATAACTGCCAAGACTTGGAAGCAACTAAGACACCCTTCAGTAAGTGATGGATAAATAAGCTCGTACATCCAGACAGTGGAGTATTACTCAGTGCTAAAAAGAAACAAGCTCTCCAGCCATGCAAAGACATGAAAGAAGCCTGAATGTGAATGCCTGAGTGAAAGAAGCCCATCTGAAAAGGCTACATACAGTATGATTCCAACCACATGACATTCTAGAAAAAGCAAACTCTGGATCCAGTAAAAAAGATGATTGGTTTCCAGGGGTTAGGGAGAAAGGAGCGATGGAAAGGTGGACCAGAGGATCTTTAGGACAGTAACATTAGTCTGTATGATACTAGGATGGCAGATACGTGTCTTTATACACTTGCTCAAACCCATAGAATGTATAATGACATCAGCTGTAAGCTCTGGACTTTGGGTGATGGTGATGTCAGTGTAAGCTCCTCGACTGTAACTAATGTCCCACTCTGGTGGGCGATGTTGATAAGGGGGACGTCGTGCATGTGTGGGGGCAGGAGGGATACGGGGAATCTCTGTACCATCTTCTCAACTTTGCTGTGAACCTAAAAAGTTAAGTCTTAAAAACATTCTGATAGACAAGCAGGCATGGATGTGAGCAGAGGAGATACATGCAGTACACATGTTTATCACCACCCTGTGTGCAGGTAGCATTTGTGATACCCACAGGCAGAGTTCCAGGGCCCCATGAGGGCTGGGTGTTCAGAGAGCCTCAACATGAGTATAAGGAACTGTGCTATGTCTACATCTGAGTGTGCAGGGGCACTAACAGCCCCAAGAAGCCATGCTTTCCATTCAAATCAGAAATCATCTCAGATGCAGAAAGAAGGCAATGCCCCCTAAACAGCAAGAACGACTTAAGAACTCCCTCATATCCTTTCCTGCTCATGTCGCCTCCCTGCCATAGCCAATGTGCTGAAAACGACAAGAGAGGGGAAGACAAGACAGGCAACCCACAGTTTCTTTTCCTTTCAACCCTTCCTTACTCATCAATGAACTGAAGGCAGAGAGTGTTGGTAGAATGTGTGAGTATCTAGACGTGAAATAAAACCAGTGGCGTCAGTTTGTGTGCCATTGACTGTTTTAATAAGAATGAAATACGTGTGCACATTTACAAGCTACAAAATAGCAGCTGTGTGATTTCAGATTCTGTACATGAATTCATTGCATTTAAAAGTGGCATTGCATAGTACACAGAAGAGCAAAATCAAAATTTTTAATTTTTCCTGTGTAAAATGACTCTGAAGAATAAGTTAACTGCGTGACAAGGAGGGAGAGAGAGAGACTGGAAGACAAGAGAATGCTTCACGGTTTAGTTCCTCCATCAGCACTTTTCCCTGCTTTTAGAACAAGGGGCTCAGCATTTCCCTTCTGCCCTGGGTCCTGCAAATCATGCAGCCGCCCTGCCCCCACTGCCACTATGAAGTTAACACTTGCTGGGAGTCTTCGATGCACAGCACCGCCCCTGAATGATGTGTCTTCGTGGCCTGAGTCACTCAAATCCCTAAGTCTCATATATTCTTCCTCTGTAAAATGGGCACAAAAATCCTAATACAGTGTGGTTCACACTGAGATGGATGGATGCAAAATGCCTTGGAAAGTGTTAAATGCCATCCACATGGCAGCTATTGTCACAGGCAATTAAAAATGAGCCAGTCCAACCGGAAGTGCTGCCCAGCACCTGCCCCACTGCAGGGAGATGCCATCTCATTTCACAGGCTGCTGGGAGACGGGGACACAAGAGTAAGCATGACCTAAACACAAAGGCACTCACAGGCAAGAGGGGCCGATGGGGACTTAGGAAAGTAAAGCTGCCGGCTCCCAGCCACATTGCCAGTCACTGAGAGTCAAGATCTGAACCCAGGCCCAGGACAGATTGCTTTTGCACTAGTGTTGACAGGGTGTGTGCACATGATAGCTACTTAATAACTGTGTTGATTACACTCCAGATTTAAAGGTGCAGCACTGAGCTGGAATCAGGTTTACAGCCGTAATGAAGGTGCATCCGATTGTGAATTTAGTACTTATTTAAATAGTATTTTTGTCTCTTAAATGTTGCTTCCCGAAAGGGGCCTTCTCTGGCTCTATTTCTCTCTCTTAGCAGCCTTGGCATTTGTTTCATACTGAGGATCACACTCTGACTCTATGTTTACTTACAGGACTCTATGTTCAGTTACAATGAGCCCAGGAAGGGGTGGGAGATAGGGCCCCTTTTCCTCCCCTCTCCAAACTCAGGCCTATTTATAGCCTGATGCTCAACAGGTATTCATGATGGGTGCTTGGATGAGCATATTAATTAATGAATAAAGCCATAATAATTACTAGTTTGCATTTCTCCTGCATGTTTCCTCAGAACACTGAGTAGTATAATTTACCATGTTTCCCTTTTTGCCCTGGCTGTTAGGAAGCTCAAAGCCATATCTGTGAAGCTTTCATAGAAGGTCTGTAAATCAACATGCATATTTATTTCTGCTCCTGTTCCCATTGATGTACCCTTTCTTGTTTTCCTAGCTTCTTTTGCTATTTGTAGTTGATGCTCTAATACTCTGTTACATATGTCCCTGTGAGACACTTGAATAAATATCCTTATTGTAATTAAAGAAATTAAACAGTCTGTCTTGAATTTCTAGCCTGCAGAGAAAAAGAATGCCCTTTCCAATGCCATGGTCTGTCTCCAGTGCAACAAGCTTCCCTTAGGTTACCTGCTTTCTGGTGTCCAGAGACCTTGGGGAGTGGTGTTCACGTGACTGGGGGCGGTGCAGCAGGTCGATGCCATTTCCTTCCAGTTAGGTGTCTAGGTGGTGGTGGAGGCGGTGTTCTGGGGTAAATGAAGGTGGAAGGCAGACAGAGCTGCAAAACCTTACAGAACATGTTTTCCCTGCTCTGACTGTGACCCATGGTTACTGGGGAAGGGGATTAGCTGCACAGGTCAACCTGAACGTCAACAGTGGGTGAGGGGGACTAGACAGCATGCTTGGAGTGCCCAGGAGGCATTCGCGTGAGAGAAATCCGGTGCTCAGTTTTTATTGGAGAGGCGAGAACAGCCCCCAAATCCAGGAAGAGAACCTGTTCCTACAGGACGCTCAGGGGAGAGGAGGGCTCCACCCAGACTTGTGTTTGCCCTGCTCTGTGTATTCAGCCAGCAGGCTCCAGAGAAGGAAGCAAAGGGCAGGGAGCTGGGCTCAGCTGATAGCCTGGCACTGGGCAGCACCAGCTGGAGACCGGGCACGGTGAACAGGAGCAGCTCCGGGAGACACCAGGGAACAGGAGACAGCCCCCACACCCACCCCAGGGGCTCAGCAGGTAAGGGCCCCCAGACCCTTTAAGCATGATGCAAAGGTTTGTTTGTGGCAGACAGTGAGATACAGAAGCTGGGGGCAGAGAGGATTGAGTCTGACCCCAGCTGTGCCATCGATTCACTGTGTAGCCTTGGATATATGTGAGCCTCAGTTTCACCATCTGTGAAATGGACCCAAAGAGAGCTTTTCCTAAATGGGTTATGTAAGGATTAAATGACAGGGTGGGTGGTATCAGGTATAAAGCAACAGAATAACTCTTGTTTGCATGGAAACTTCGTGGGTCATTTCAAGTGCAAAACTGGGGTTAAAAGTCAGCAGGTGGAGGGGAGTGCTATGTGATTTAGGGACCACTGTCAGCACAGGAACCCTACAGCAAAGCTGACTTTGCGTCTGCCCTAAGGTGCAATCTAAGGAAGGGGTACAAATAGAGAGAAGGACTTCCGGAGTGTCTTTCGTGAATCTGGTTCTTCATACCAACTGTCTTATTTGACATTCAAAGCCCCCCTTTGAGCTGAGTGCTGGATTCAAATTCCAGCCGTACGCTCCAGAAATTTGCATCACCTCTGAAACTCCATTGCCTGCCTTGAAGAGTCAAGGTGAATTGGGGGGTGCCCTTGAGCCACACTGGATGTCAGTGAGTGGCTGGGTGTCCCGGGCAGGTTGCTTCACCCCTCTGGGCTTCAGTACTGAGATCAAAGTGAGGGCCGAGAGGCTGAGACGACCCCAAACACAATGCATGGGGCACACCTCAGCTGTTGTCCCTCCATTTCACCACTAGGGAGACCAGGCCGGGGGACGGGATAGGCGCTCCTTCTGCACAGAAGGGAAGCCGTAGAACTGAGATCCAGTCACGGTCAGGACTGGAGGGGACCACTCACCTCTCAGGCAGAAGACACCAAAAACCTCGGCCATCAAAATAAATCATATTTGAAGGCAATATTTCAAAAATGTAAAAGTAATGCCAAGACATCTATGGTGGACAAAACCACATGTTCAGTAAAGGGAAGATCTGTAACAACACTCATTTTGGTTTTGAAGTGTTGTGTTAAAGCACGTTATTTCTCTTGGTGGCTGAGTGTTTGATGCCCCCTTAAATTCTGCGCCAGGGCCAAATGCCTCCTCCATCCACTCCTCTCAGCACCAGCTTCCGGGCCTGGGGTGTATGTCTTGCCTTTTCTCTAAATAAAAGCCAAGAGAGGGGGCCTGTCAAAGTATCTTCAATGCAAGGGGGAGCTGGGAGCAAGCCGACGTCCCAGACCATGCGGGAGTCTTTCTTCCCAAGACTTCTGAAACTTGGGAAGGATTGTCTTTTTTAGGAAAAGGCTTTAGGGAAAAGGCATGTGCTTCTGGAGAGGAACAGGCCTGTAAGAGCCCATCGTGTCTGCTTTCCCATGACAAGAGACGCACAGGAACAGGGCTGGAAAAAGCCCAGGGAGGGTGAGTGGTCCTGGCCCTGCCGGAGGGATGGCCATTCACTGAGTGTGTCACTGAGTCGGCTGTTTCTTCTGCTCCCAGAGCTGGGCGGGGACTCGGTTAAGGACTTGAGTGCCTGAGTCACGTGGACCCAGGTTCAAGCCCAGCTCTGTCTCTTCCTAGCCTTCTAATCTGGGATCTTTACTCTTCTTCCTTCACCTAATCACCACGTGTGAGTTGGGGATGCTCAACGTGCTTGCCCTCACAACCTTTGCGCTCTAGGGGAGGGGACGGCATCACTCTGCCTCAGTTTCTTTATCTCTGTAATGGGGAAACGATAGGCTGCAGGAAGGAGAATGGCAGACAATGTAAGTAGAGTACCTGGCCCCAGGACGGGGCGGGCAGGGTGGAGGTGAGTGGGGGGAGCAAGCAAGCAAGCCAGCGAGGGTCCTGGGAGCACAGAGCGAGAGGCCTGGCCCTGGGTGCTGATTCTGAAGCTGCCCCGTCCTGGGAGAAGTGCCTTCTTGCATTTTGTGCCCTGGGCACCTCTCTGGTGAGGGGGACTAGACAGCATGCTTGGAGTGCCCAGGAGGCATTCGCGTGAGAGAAATCCGGTGCTCAGTTTTTATTGGAGAGGCGAGAACAGCCCCCAAATCCAGGAAGAGAACCTGTTTCTACAGGACGCTCAGGGGAGAGGAGGGCTCCACCCAGACTTGTGTTTGCCCTGCTCTGTGTATTCAGCCAGCAGGCTCCAGAGAAGGAAGCAAAGGGCAGGGAGCTGGGCTCAGCTGATAGCCTGGCACTGGGCAGCACCAGCTGGAGACCGGGCACGGTGAACAGGAGCAGCTCCAGGAGACACCAGGGAACAGGAGACAGCCCCCACACCCACCCCAGGGGCTCAGCAGGTAAGGGCCCCCAGACCCTTTAAACATGATGCAAAGGTTTGTTTGTGGCAGACAGTGAGATACAGAAGCTGGGGGCAGAGAGGATTGAGTCTGACCCCAGCTGTGCCATCGATTCACTGTGTAGCCTTGGATATATGTGAGCCTCAGTTTCACCATCTGTGAAATGGACCCAAAGAGAGCTTTTCCTAAATGGGTTATGTAAGGATTAAATGACAGGGTGGGTGGTATCAGGTATAAAGCAACAGAATAACTCTTGTTTGCATGGAAACTTCGTGGGTCATTTCAAGTGCAAAACTGGGGTTAAAAGTCAGCAGGTGGAGGGGAGTGCTATGTGATTTAGGGACCACTGTCAGCACAGGAACCCTACAGCAAAGCTGACTTTGCGTCTGCCCTAAGGTGCAATCTAAGGAAGGGGTACAAATAGAGAGAAGGACTTCCGGAGTGTCTTTCGTGAATCTGGTTCTTCATACCAACTGTCTTATTTGACATTCAAAGCCCCCCTTTGAGCTGAGTGCTGGATTCAAATTCCAGCCGTACGCTCCAGAAATTTGCATCACCTCTGAAACTCCATTGCCTACCTTGAAGAGTCAAGGTGAATTGGGGGGTGCCCTTGAGCCACACTGGATGTCAGTGAGTGGCTGGGTGTCCCGGGCAGGTTGCTTCACCCCTCTGGGCTTCAGTACTGAGATCAAAGTGAGGGCCGAGAGGCTGAGACGACCCCAAACACAATGCATGGGGCACACCTCAGCTGTTGTCCCTCCATTTCACCACTAGGGAGACCAGGCCGGGGGACGGGATAGGAGCTCCTTCTGCACAGAAGGGAAGCCGTAGAACTGAGATCCAGTCACGGTCAGGACTGGAGGGGACCACTCACCTCTCAGGCAGAAGACACCAAAAACCTCGGCCATCAAAATAAATCATATTTGAAGGCAATATTTCAAAAATGTAAAAGTAATGCCAAGACATCTATGGTGGACAAAACCACATGTTCAGTAAAGGGAAGATCTGTAACAACATTCATTTTGGTTTTGAAGTGTTGTGTTAAAGCACATTATTTCTCTTGGCGGCTGAGTGTTTGATGCCCCCTTAAATTCTGCGCCAGGGCCAAATGCCTCCTCCATCCACTCCTCTCAGCACCAGCTTCCAGGCCTGGGGTGTATGTCTTGCCTTTTCTCTAAATAAAAGCCAAGAGAGGGGGCCTGTCAAAGTATCTTCAATGCAAGGGGGAGCTGGGAGCAAGCCGACGTCCCAGACCATGCGGGAGTCTTTCTTCCCAAGACTTCTGAAAGTTGGGAAGGATTGTCTTTTTTAGGAAAAGGCTTTAGGGAAAAGGCATGTGCTTCTGGAGAGGAACAGGCCTGTAAGAGCCCATCGTGTCTGCTTTCCCATGACAAGAGACGCACAGGAACAGGGCTGGAAAAAGCCCAGGGAGGGTGAGTGGTCCTGGCCCTGCCGGAGGGATGGCCATTCACTGAGTGTGTCACTGAGTCGGCTGTTTCTTCTGCTCCCAGAGCTGGGCGGGGACTCGGTTAAGGACTTGAGTGCCTGAGTCACGTGGACCCAGGTTCAAGCCCAGCTCTGTCTCTTCCTAGCCTTCTAATCCGGGATCTTTATTCTTCTTCCTTCACCTAATCACCACGTGTGAGTTGGGGATGCTCAACGTGCTTGCCCTCACTACCTTTGCGCTCTAGGGGAGGGGACGGCATCACTCTGCCTCAGTTTCTTTATCTCTGTAATGGGGAAACGATAGGCTGCAGGAAGGAGAATGGCAGACAATGTAAGTAGAGTACCTGGCCCCAGGACGGGGCGGGCAGGGTGGAGGTGAGTGGGGGGAGCAAGCAAGCAAGCCAGCGAGGGTCCTGGGAGCACAGAGCGAGAGGCCTGGCCCTGGGTGCTGATTCTGAAGCTGCCCCGTCCTGGGAGAAGTGCCTTCTTGCATTTTGTGCCCTGGGCACCTCTCTTGCTTTACCCCAATCCTGGCTCTGCCAGGCTCATAAACCTTCAGCTAATGCTACCTGCTATCATTATGAGCTTAAAGATGTTTGGTGCAACATGAAGAATAAGATAGTGAGCTCAAAACCTTCTAGGAACCTGAACCATTTATACAGACATAATTGAGTGTTCCGACAGCAAGACACCAATTACCGAGCATTCCTAGAACATCAGCATGATTTGGATACAGTGTCTCACCCCTTCCCCTGAGCCCACACAGTCCCACACCGGGGCACAAGGCTTGGGGAGTGCAGTGAAGGACGGATTTCAGTCCTCATGTGCCCCCCTGTGCAGAGGGCAGCCTGCATAGTACCCATGGCAGCCCTCACAGGCTCTACCATGTCCCCAGCACTCTGCAGGGGACCACGGGAGGTGCAGGACCAGGGCACCTAGCAGAGCAGGGCTCTTTTCTTCCCTCATAGGGGCCTTGCCTCTGGAGTTGGGGGGCAGAGGAATTGTGCAGGGTGTGCCAGCCTGGCCATGGCGGCACTGTCCTCAGCTGGATGGTGGGGACGGCCCACAGTTTGCCTGCATTACATTGCATTGATCGAAGGTGTTTCTGTCTGCTCAGTGACTCATTCTGTCACCATTCCACCCTTCCAGACCTCTCCTTCCATTTGACAGTCATTTAGCTGCCCACTGGCAAGGCAGCTTAGAATGCACGCATTTTCTCCAGGGCAGTCTGTGCTGTGTC